CTGTTAAGTCGGATAGATATTTTGTCCATAATTAATTCAATCTTGAACTATATCACTGACTAATGTAAGCCTAAATAACTAAGGAAATTCGGATTTCCCAATGGTCACAAATATCCCTTACTGTTGAGTTGTTAACAAGTACTTCGATAGATTCTGGCTGATTAATTCTAAATATGAAAGTAAATCAAACTATAGTACCAATTATATCAAAATAAAATGTTTTAGGGTAATTTTCCCGGATAGACTAAAGCGTCTAAATTAAGTGTAATAGTGTAATCTACCCAGATTATTGCTAAAAGTATACATCACTCAATTCATGCTTGCACAAAATTAATTTGCTGGAAATTAAAAATATTCAATAAAATGAATGCCATTACTTTTTTAAAATTGTTTAATGAGTTAAATGATAAAATTCTATTTTAATTAACTTAATAATTGTGGTAATTACTGCACTGTTGAAAGTTTCTATTCCTAATAAATGTATCATGGCGTGATTAAATGCTTTGATTTCAGGACGTTGTTTTTGATATAACGGGTTACAAAGATAATATTATTTGGGTCAGTATCTTTTGTGTCAGATCAGTATAAACTTGGTTCAGTACATTTACTTACGCCTGTTACCCTTCGTAGAGGGACAGAGTCCAACCACCAGTATCCTCAATCCAACCCTGTCCTGGGCAATCCTTTCCAGTTGCTATTCATCTTTTTGATGTCTGCTTCCGATTCTTGGTGTAGTATAATCTTCGGCCTTCCTCTTTTCCGTTTCCCTTCAGGATTTCACGTTAGGGCTTGCCTCGTCATGCAGTTTGGTGATTTCAGTATTGTACGTCCTATCCAATCCCGTTGCTTTTTCCTAATTTTCTCTTTAGCCGGAAGATAGTTTTTTCTCTTCTACAGTAGGTTGTTGCTAATGGTAGCCGGTCAACTGACATTGAGTATTTTTCGTATACAACTGTTTATAAATAATTGTACCTTTTTGATGATAGTTGTGGTAGTTCTTCAAGTTTCAGCTACGTACAGTAGAACTGTCTTGACGTTCATATTGAAGATTCAGACTCTGATGTTGGTTGACAGACAGTTGTTTTGAGTTCCATATGTTGTTTAACTGTAGGGATTCGGCCCTTGATTTGCCAAACCTTGACTTTATACCTGGATCAGATTGTCCATGTTCGTTGATAATGCTGCCCAGGTACATGAAAGTTTCCACCTTTCCGGAGCTTCTCTATCAAATAAGATTGGGTTGGTATTCTTCGTGTTTTATTTGAGCATCTCTGTTTTTTCCTTGTGTATGTTAAGGCCTACCGTGCAGAGGCATCCGTTATACTGGATGTCTTGACCTTCATTTGTTCGTGGGTATGGGATAGAAGGGCTTAGTCATCCAAATCGTCTAGTTGCATGCAAGCTGTCCATTTTATCCCGTGCTTCCTTCAGCTTGACACTTGTATTTCTTATATCAATTCAAGTTAATCATATTCAGCGTATGTTTCCAGCATATTTTCCCCTATATATTATATTATCGTGTGCGAAAATCAGTATATAAATTATTTTATTTCAATCTAATAACAATGTGATTTCGAAACTTCTTTGTAAATGTATTTCTGCGGAGTCAATAAATCTTTATTGCACTAGTCTTTCATGTTCTTACTTTGCATCGTGAAAATCTCAATGGTTCCCGATTGCCAAGTGCAAGTAATAAGGAAATAAAAGAAATAATACGTACAGAACAGCGACGACAATTCCAGATATAACCATTTTCATAGATTATCTGATTTTGATTTAATAGAAAACTATTCCTTTTCTTCTTTTATTTACACGTAAAATATTATAGTCATTTGTTAAATACATACTGATAAATCTGATTTTATGTTCATATAATTTAATGTAATAAATGAATTCTTATTAAACCAGTATGATTGGACTCAACTTTAATTATTTAATCGGATGACAAATATGGAAACTGTCATAAGTTCAACTACGTTTTACATTGTTTTTGATCAACAAAAATTGAAATATCAGTGTTATATTATTATTATTATATTATTATCAAATAGCTTCCAGAGATAATGTGTAACTTATGAAATATCAGCTACTATTTTCAAATTATTAATGTTGTTTACATACAGACACGAATTTGTAACTTTTGTACTTAAAGAAAAGAAATTCCTTTTAAGATATTTTTCTAATTTTGTTGGACTATTTATCTGTAAAGTATTGAGTGCATGAACCATTTTTTTGCGTGGCCATAAAATACTTGTTCCTATGGAAAAAACAACCTTAAAATGATTTTTTTAAAAACGAATTTAGATTAATTATTATACATTCATTTACACACAGGACAGACTGTAGTGTATATCTACTGACAGAAAGTAAATTCAAGTACCTTGATCATCCATTCATCAGAAATAGATGGAACACTTTTAGAATGTTACTCATTATGTTAGAATGATTGTTTTTACAAATATATCACTTGATGATCGACTTGATGACCTGTGTCAACCAAGTGAGAGAGAATAAAACTTTTATCACTTTTACCTGTCCTTTGTTTAACCACGACGGATGATGTTCAGTAATGCGATGACGGACTTGCCGAATTGTACGCCCAATATAACCGGCTCCACAGGAGCAGTTGAAACGATAGATGCACATAGATTTGGCAAATTCAGGCAGTCTGTCTTTGTTGGCTGTTCTTATTTTGGGATAGTTGTAGAAGACGGCATTTAATCTGGCAGCATTAAATGTTTTTTATACGGCTCTTCTTAGTTTCTGAGTCAAGATTTCTTCAATGGTGTCATTTATGAATTGTGGTTTTATGAATAGTACCTTCTTATGGACGATGGGTATCTTTGTCCTTGTTTTCTTCTCCATCATATGTTTGTCGATAAATAAAGCTTTTAAGGTTATCTACAATATCCCATCAAATTTGCCACATGGTTTACGAGTGCGCCTCTTGCACATTGCGGAAGCCATCGCAATCCATGTTCACAAACCTGACCTTTGCATTCAAAAGAGATTCGTACAACCACTTTCCCTGCCCTGGCCATCAGTTGAAGATTTCCTTCAAAAGAACTATTTTTCATACTTCTTCCACTTGTTTTGTTTTTTTAACTTTTGTAATTTTGTTTCTGTTGCTTTTGAACTTAATAACTTCTCAACATTCATCTCTTGATTCTTATGTAACTACCATCCTATTGACCATCCGTTAAAATTCTGTTCCTTCTTTGTTTCTTACATTACGCAACGTAGCAACTTCTTGATCACTTTGAATATTAATAATCCTCTTTCTTCCAATTAATCAATGTTAATTTAAATGTCATTATGTAATTATTACGTAACGTATCTACTCGATGAGTATTATATTATTGTAAAACATATATATATTAGTGTAGAGCCATGATGAAAAACTAATTGAAAAGAAATTTCTTCGCTCAATTTGTTCCTTCTTTATTTACCAAATGGCAAAATGGGAATTTTCACTTTATTAAAATAGTTGTCTATATATGGTTAAAATAATAAATAAACCAGTGATTTATTTTGTTAAACCATCTTTACTAGTAAGGAAATAGACTCAATGTATCTAAATATATAATTATTACCTTTTATTTACTGTTTCATTTACTTTCTATATTGTCATTTAAAGTGAATTGTGGTTTTCTAATATGACTAATTAATGTTTTAAATAAGTGAGTGAATAAAAATAAAACCTATTATCTCTATATATTCATTCATTTTACCAACAAACAAAATTGATATAAATAAGAAATCCATTTAAAACAGATTACACTTTATTCAGATAAGTAATAAATTAGACCTTTAGTATTTATTACATAAACTAAAGCTATACATCAGTCAATCAATCAACAATGAAATTTATATTACACCTTATTTACCAGTAAATTTAAGATGGTAGTTCATAGTTTAAAGAATGCTTCAATTAAACTGCGATATATATATATATAATTTTTAGTAAGGGTTTTCATTATCCTGTAGTTGGTATTCATAATTAAATTTCGATCAATCTTTGTTGGCATATGCGTATTCTATACGATTTAGCCTCTGTATCACAAGTGTTTCGGAAAAAAACCGATTATTGTTAGCAGTAACATCGAGGATTGGAGTTTTTGTCTTATTTAGGATTCGTACAGGCTATAAATATACCAACAAAGATTGATCAAAATGCTGTCCTAAATATCAGCGATGTGATGTTTCAAACTCTTGCTAATGATAACATTAATATCTTATCTGTTGAAAAAGTTAGTGGCCACTTGAACTGGATAGGTTTTGGAATTTTAATCAAACGTTACTGTGTTCTGATCCAAATGTAAATGCCAACACAGAGATGTAGATATATCCTACCGACACAGCTTAAATAAACGTACCTAATGGTTTCTACTGCTAACTACAATCCGTTCACTTTAAAAAACTTGTGACACGTATGTCTTTAGTGGGAGGTAAATGAAAGGATTGTAGTATGAATATATATATATATATATATATATATATATATATATATATAAATTGATTGCGGTGAAATATGATTTCGTTAATTAATTGCTATGCAAAATCCGGTCACGACTCTTTCCGCATAAATAAAGATAGCCTTTACTCTTCAAAATAGGTGATCTTCGAAACGCAAAATAAATAAATGATACGAATGTAGTGAACCAAAACAGGTGGTGATGGCTAATTTATTATTTAACTCAAAATTACGGTTTTTTGATAGTGTGAAGACCATATATTAAATACTTCATTTGCAAATCTTCCATCAATTGTCCTTCACATTCCGTATAATTCTTCCAATTCTCAATTCCTTTCTATCTTTGTTTTTGTTTCCCTCGACTCGATCTTTTTAGCCTTCTGCTGCTAGGCATTCCGCTTCTGATTGGTGTTGCATACCACTTACGTCTGTCAACATAAGTAGCTTACACCACACAAATACCTCTAGTACATATATAAATATATAAGTTGACAAAATAAATCTTTTAAAAAATTCTGTCTTATAGCGTATCGCCAGATCATTCTACAACTGTCCGAATCTTGATGGTGTCGAGTTAGAAGATGAGGATGATGCGGGAGTGTATCTAACACACTGGGAGAAACGCCTTTTAGAGGTATGTTTTACTAATAAATTCATCTATTAGAAAATGATAACCAATAAGCTCATAATATCTAGAACAACATAAAGTTGTAGTACTTATAATTTATGTAGTATCCAAATTTAAAAATGAATGGTTAAAATGCTATAGAGCACTTAAGGATTTTCTAGTAAATGCAATTAAGGATAAAAATTAAGCCTGAATACTATTTTATTGTTTGGTGATGTTTAGAATATCATACAATTAGACATCTTTAACCATTACATATAGCCAATTGACTAAGTCCTGTGATTGCACCTTCTCGAAACGTAATCACATGTCATAGACAATAAATTTCACGATAGTCGTATTCCAAACGATTAAATTGTTGTATCAGTATCCTTAACTAGAGATTTGTTCTTCCTACGAAATTGAACTATTTCGTTATTCTTCAACAAATAACCATCAAGCATTCATGATCAACTATTTCTCTCAGGATCAATTGTTAAATCTCCGTGAATATTTTAAAATCAATCAACTCAAAAATCACAATAGTACTTGTTTTGTTCGTATTCCCGTAGCTTGTTGTTTATGGTTTATGTCATAGATACTAAGTTACTTATGAGTAGTTACATTTTAATTTCTAAATTTTCAAACATTTTTTAAAAGAATGATTTAATGACGGCAACATACACAAATTCCTTTCGAATTTCACCGATTACTCTGGCAATGATGGAGGATACCGGGTAAGCTCATTAAGTTCAAGTGGCTTTAAACCCTTTGTATTCTAAATCCATATCCCCAAGAGTTGATTATTTTTCTCCCCTTAATAAAACGTTTAAATCTCAGTGCTTTAAGATAATTATGTGATGATCACTTAAAATTAGCCTACAATTCCTAGATCCTATTCAAATTTTTCAATGCTCACTGTATTATATATAAATACTCAACATTACAACAGTTCATTTGAAATATACTGTATGAAAGTCCGAACCTTAATAGTCAGTTGCAAAGGTGTGATGTGATTAACGGGATAATTTTGTTTTGTCAGTTAACGTAATCAGTAAAGAAACTTTAAAAAAAAGAAAAAAATTACTTTCTAACTACGCTCTTGGTTGTGGAGATAGATTATAGGGCCGATAATATTCAAAAGAACTTTCTATGTATTGAATTTCAGAATCGTAAACTCAAAATCTCAAACTTCACTCATTATAATCTGGTTTTCACGTTATTAAGAAAATATTTTCTGACCAGTTGAAGGTTAATGAAAGTATCTGTTTACTTATAAATTCATTGCAAATGTTAGATTTTTTAAATAATATCGTAAATCATCGATGAACTTAGTTACACATATGTACTTTAACATGATTTCACCTGGTGACTGTAAACAAACTCTTTCAACGGTATAGTACAATTAAATAGTTAAAACTAAGATTGAATATCAACAGTTTGTTTGCCAAATAGCTTTTCAAAGCTCCTCAATTATGACAATGGATCATATTTTCTGAATGAATTCCAATGATTGATGAAGGAAACAGAATTTTGTGCGCGTTCTTAATATCCTAACAAATTCGTTCGCAGTTTTATGTAGTTTCTTAATGTTTTCAGACACTACATTTTCAAAGTATTTGTTTGGTTTTCGACAGACTGTTTGTTGAGCTAAACATCTAATCAGCAAATGACCGGGTCTAACTTTTATAATTTACCATTAATCATGTTATTTTTATCTCTTTAACTGTGGGTTGATTGGCTTCGTATAATTGTTAGTGGAACTTTTCACCTGAATCCTTAAAATTGTGTAATAAATAATTAACCTTCTCGTCACTCCTAGATCTTCTGAAGTAGAAGCTTAAGAAACCTTTATTTTGTGCATTCATATTTAATTTTCTAGTAGAATCAGTTTACAATTTTGATTTTTTCTTCATTTAAGCTGGTACATCCCAAACTATGCATTATCTCAGTCTTTCAGTTGGGGTAGAGGTCGAGGATGTACATTTGCAATTGGCAGTTGTTTAGAATACATGCTAGAACAAAGTCGTGGGTAAGTAATTTGATGTAAAACTTTCGCTATTCAATATTTACACTAATGTTGAATGTTTACAGGTTAGTAGATTATGCATTTGATTAATTTGAGAATAGTCAGCAAAAAACGTTCGAAATAACCCAATCGTCATTGACGACTTTGGAGATCTGTACAGATCAGTTGGATTCATTGGATTAGAGGATGGTATGAAAATGCCTGCTGACAACACAATAGTCCATTATCGAATCGTGACCTCTTTGACTTAGTTGAGAATCCCATCAAAAGATACCGATTTCCATTCTTTTGAGGTCTCAGTTGTATATTACAGGAGAAGCATCAAATTAAGTCATGACATTCGGACAATGTGTCTTTTTTTAAGTCGTTCTTCAGTGATTAGAAATCGCGACTAAATTAATTATTAGTTATTACTGAAGTCAAGCAACTTCATATTTTGACTTAGAACTAAAAATTACAAAATTAAAGCTCCCATCTAAGGACTGATTTGTATAATGGAAGAGAGTTCAATGAATATCAATCTGATAATAAACTGTAACATAGATCTTCATGCATGGTTTGATTACATACTTCGGCTTGATAAATCCCCTGAACAATTATCAGTTGCAGAAAGCTTTGAGGAAGCACTTAAGTGCTCCATATAGAATTTAACATATTCATTGGGTGGACTCAGTGGAATTACTATGTACATATGTTTAATGGATCTATTAAGCAGAATATTTTCTACTGTATTTATTGACAGGGCAAACAGAGAATGATAGACTTTTACATGTGAGTTGTAACGATACTTTGGTGGCATAGTTTTAAACGGTCCAATGTTAGTGAACTATAAAAAATATTTGGAGTTTCTATAACCAAATCACTTCTCATACGAACTTGTCCCAAAATTTTGGAATAAGATATTGAACAGAAATTTCCTTATAAAACAGATTTACACCTCGAAACAACTTTTACCTAAATGTATTTTGAAGCGAATAGTTTGCATGACACCGTAAATTTTTAGTTTTCATAACTAAAATATGTAGCGTATTGTGTTTTCAGAAGTGGTTTTTCGGATATTATAGCAATATTATTAGTTGAGATTATGCTAGGGTTGAAACTATCACGAGTTCACTTAATCTGCGAACGAGAATGGGTCCCAGCCCCTCTAACTAGAGGGAGAAGTTCAAGCTTGGAATGGGGAGGTATACTCTGCAAACAGCCAGAAATGAGCGATAACAACAATTCAAAACGTATATATACAGTACAAAACTGTCCTTGGGGAGAGTTACCAAATAGCATACCAAAAGACGCAACGGACCAATAGCATTTAAGCTATTTCACAGTGGGAAATACGACATGAATGTGACAAGAGCGCCTTTGGCGCGAAAATGAAGAAATTCAAATTTTCTCTCCATCTGTCGCTTCAAAAACCTTGTTTTACGTGCGCTTATTCGGGGACCCTGTGGCATCTTCGTCTGGTCTTGCTGGCGTTGGTGTCGCACTAAGCGCTAGAGCTGAGGCAGCACTAATCGATTGGATCCCCATTAACAGTCGGTTATGTGCTGTTAGATTAGAAAGTTCCATCAAAGTGAGAAGAAATCGGCGTGAGAAACGATGTCTTTTCGTCATCGCCTATGCCCCGACAGATTGCAGCCCGGATGCAATCAAGGATGAGTTTTACCACCAGTTATCAGTTCTTCTCCAGAAAGTGCGTTCGACAGATATTGTAGTACTAGCCGGAGACTTGAATGCTCAGGTCGGGCGTCTAGGCACAGAAGAGAGTCGTTTAGGTGGCCGATGGGGACTTGTTGGTCGCAGGTCAGATAACGGGGACCGTCTACTGCAACTTTGCACAGACCACAACCTGTTTCTGGCTAGCACTAACTTTCGGCACAGTCATCGCCGATGTGCCACATGGCGTCCTCCCTCTGCATCTCAAGCCTGGACTCAGATTGATCACATCGCGATCAGCTACCGCTGGCGTGGTTGTGTACAAGACTGTCGCTCCTTTCGGAGTACCTATCTGGACTCTGATCATGCCCTGGTCTGTGCCAATCTTATCTTACTTTTCAGTGGAAAACGAAGTGACCGCCAACAACGGATTGATGTTAGCAAGCTGGTTGCAACTTCTGTTGCAAGTAAGTGTCGAACCAAGCTAGCTTCTAGGCTAGCTACCATTCCACCGAAAAGTATAGATGAACGGTGGTTGCAACTTAATGACGCCATCGAAATGGCGAGTAAAGCCGCTTGCGGCTTGGCGAAACGTTCCGCTTATGAGCATTGGGTTTCTTCTGGTTCCTTACAACTCATTGAAGCCCGTCGGTCTACTACGGGTGACCGTGAGTTTGACGACAAACGAAGGATGTTACGTAATGAAATCGGTCAAAGCTTGCGTAAGGACCGAGAAGCCTGGTGGTCAGAGCGTGCTAATGAGCTGGAAGCAGCAACTTACTTACTTACTTACGCCTGTTACTCCTAGTGGAGCATAGGCCGCCGACCAGTATTCTCCAACCCACTCTGTACTGGGCCTTCTTTTCTAGTTCCATCCAATTCTTGTTCATTTTTCTCATGTCTATTTCCATTTCTCGGCGTAATGTGTTCTTTGGTCTTCCTCTTCTCCTTTGGCCTTGAGGATTCCATGTGAGGGCTTGTCTTGTGACACAGTTGGGTGATTTCCTCAATGTGTGTCCTATCCACTTCCAGCGCTTCTTCCTGATTTCTTCCTCCGCTGGGATCTGGTTTGTTCTCTCCCACAGTACGTTGTTGCTAATAGTGTCCGGCCAACGGATCTGAAGTATTTTGCGTAGACAACTGTTAATAAACACCTGTATTTTCTGGATGATGGCAGAATTCTTCGGAGGGCAGTTCAGCTGGCCTGTTGCTCCGGACCGTCCTGCCCTCCATGGCCGGTGACGACTGGTCCATCAAATGAGGCGGAAGTCCGCAAGGAACTTCAACTCTTGAAGCACTACAAATCACCTGGCCCAGATGACTTACCTCCTGCCCTTTCTAAAGATGGTGGTGACTTTCTGACTAAGGAATTGACGACGTTGTTTACAAAGGTTTGGGAACTAGAGAGTGTACCAACGTCATGGAATGAGTCGATAGTTGTCCCTATCTTTAAAAAGGGTTCACGTCGTTCCTGTAACAACTATCGGGGGATAAGTCTACTTCCGATTGCGTCCAAGCTATTGGCTTCCGTCATACTTCGTAGGTTGTTCAAAACCCGAAAAAGATTGACTGGTTTTCGTTCTGGTCGAGGATGTATTGATCATATCTTCACCCTCCGCCAAATGTTAGAACACCGCCATATTTATCAAAGGCCAACAATCGTAGTGTTTCTTGACATCAGGGCTGCCTTCGATTCGTTGGACAGGACTGTTCTCTGGGATTGTCTATTGAAGAAGGGTGTGCCTGAGAAGTTTATTAACATCCTAAAAGCCCTATATAAAAACACCTCAGGCAGAGTGAGGGCATACAACCACCTCTCTCCATTGTTCCATTCGAGCAGTGGGGTTAGGCAGGGTTGCCCAATCTCACCATTCCTCTTCAACTTTGCCATCGATGACATTCTGGAAACAGCTCTGATGAATGTAAGTAATGGTGGTGTGGATCTGTTGCCTGGAGAAAGACTTCTCGACCTTGAGTATGCGGACGATATTGTCTTACTGTGCGATAATGCCCAAGGCATGCAATCCGCACTTAATCAGTTGGCAATCAGTGTCCGTAGGTATGGTATGTGCTTTGCACCTTCGAAGTGCAAAGTACTTCTACAAGACTGGCAGGATTCTAATCCTGTACTCACCCTGGATGGTGAGCAGATAGACGTAGTCGAGAAGTTCGTGTATCTGGGTAGCTGCATAAGTGCTGGTGGGGGTGTGAGTGATGAGATCAATGCACGTATAGTGAAAGCCAGAGCGGCTTATGCCAATCTGGGCCACCTTTGGCGCCTTCGTGATGTTAGTCTGGCTGTAAAAGGTTGGATCTACAACGCGTCGGTGAGAGCAGTTTTGCTCTATGCTTGTAAACCTGGCCTCTCCGAGTTGAGGATGTTAGACGACTCTCTGTGTTTGATCATCGCTTTCTCCGAAGGATTGCTGACATCCAGTGGCAACACCATGTTAGTAATGCAGAGGTTCGGCGCAGAGACGATAATTCAATTGGTGTCACCATCTTGAAACATCGACTTTGGTGGCTTGGACATTTACTACGAATGTCATCCAACATCGTGCACTATTTGCCGACGCTGGGACTGGTTGGAAAATGCAAAGAGGTGGCCAGTGTATGACATAGTGTCGTGGTATGAAAGAAAGCTGCAAACGGCTGGCTTCTGTTGGCCCTTCATGACTCATTGGTTGGGGTCCTAGAGATGGCGCAACACAGTGACTAGAGACGTTGTCAGACATGGCTCAGAATAGAATCCAGTGGCTATCCTGCTGTAACCTTCTTCATTAAAAAAATGGTTGTTTCTTCCTTAAGTGAAAGGTTTCCTCTCATTGTACCTTTCCGTCTCCCCATTATTACTATTATTATTATTGCACTACCTTACACTAATTTGTTCGTTATTGTTCTTTTTTTCTTTTCGAATTCCCATTGTTATGTGTGGTGCATATATATTTGGCTCACTCTTGTACCAATATTTATGTGTTCAAATAATAATAAATAAAACATACCTCCCCGTTTTAATAGCGTACTTTCCTGGGGTCGACTTGCATCTTGATTGTTGCTCGCCGCTGTCGGAGAGGCCACCTTCTGGAACGGAGATCAGCTTGTTGTTGAGCTTCTTCGTGTGGTTGGGCTGCTGGTAAGTTGAAGGTGTCAAGGGGAAGATTTACTTCTGTTGATGGGCGGTCTGGGGCTATCCGCTTTCGTAGTTGGTTTCGGTGTCTAGTCCACGTGTCTCTTCCCACCTTTACCTCGTACATAACTTGGCCTATTTTTCTAACCGCACGTGATTCGGTCCAAGGACCATGAGTTGCTCTGTAGTCTCGAGCGAACACCGGTCATCCAACCTCGTACTCTGGCAGCTTCTGAGATTTGGTCTGAGAAGATGTGTTTTCATTTATTTTGGAGTATGCGAATTCAGAAGTTGACTTTCATGAGTTATTATATTAGAATATGAATATCTCACAATCGCTGCTAATTATGTAAATTTTTTCTCTTATATTTCGTAAATTACATAATACTTTAATACGTGGATTAAACAGAAGGTAAACTATCTTCGTTCACAAACAAATATCCTTTGGGTATTAATTAACGTAATTTGTTTTCTTTTCCTTTATATAGTGGTCATCCAATTACACCGTTTTGTCAACAGTTAACTTCAAGCTTTCACAACAAAAATAATGGATTACAGGTTAGCTGTACACCTGGTGAAGAAAGTTATGGATTTTGTAACCTAATTGAATATTCCAAACCATTGCCTGATGAATATGTATATTTCGTTAACACAAATTTCTCGACTGTTACACTGAATTCTGAAATCAATCTAGGTACTGGAACCTTAACTAATCAGTATCCTTTGGTTAAATTAGGAGGAAAAATAGCTTTGGCTAATTACTGTCCATATCATCAGGTTTGTTAATTAAATTATTTTATTTAATTATACTGTTAATAAAATCATTCACTTAAAGAGTATTATATAATTGTCAATGTGTGAGAGTGAAACATTTTTGTTGTTGGGATTTTTAACGGTATAATAATCAAATGGACGAAACTATAGAAAGAAAACTCTCACTTATTGTACTGATCACACTGGTAGCTTGTTGTCTGTTGATTTAGCATCATTATTTTGGGTATTTAGACCCATGATATGAACACAGTCAAAAAAGTGTGAAGGGTCTAAACTTTAGTGTACATGTAAGTAAAATCCAGTTGTATAAGCTAAATGTGATCCTTAATTGAGAAAATTATATTTGAGTTTCTATCAAACTATTCATTTAAATATTGACAATTATTCGTATAAAATATATCTGATTCTAATTGATTTTTTGTATTGGATGTTTGAATACTTCCATTGATGTTTAGAACTGCAATTAATCAGTTGCTTATTGGCAAATGTGCATCATGTGCGAATTTCCTCGATATTGCCTTAAGTTCATCTCTGCTTATATGATTCTTTTTGAAAGTTTCCAAAAGCATACATTCGGTGGCTACTTAAGATTTTTTTAACTATAATAAAACATGGTCTTAATATAAAGACCAAAAATTCACTTAATGTGATATTTAAACACAGAATCATGACCAAAATGTCCACATGACATAGACATAATCAGACTTACTCTGATTTTGATTATGACTAAACTAAATATTCTGCCTGGTTCCTTTATACTATTTAATTCGGTTATCCATTTGTTTACTTTAAAATATTGGCTTACATTACGTCACGAAACATCAAAATTTGAATTTCTACTCATTGGGATATCACAAATATATTATGGGTTTTTTATCCTCATTGAAATGTTTTTCCTCAATACATTTAATAACATCAGAAAGGATTTTGTGGAGATTTTAGTAATTTCAGTAGTTGAGATCATGAGTCAATTTCTATTCATTCTTATGTAAACTTTTTTTGTAGGAAATTGAATGGGAAGATGATGTAGGAAAATCAATTGCTAATACTCATTGTCATGCATCAACTAATTTGAAAGGTAACTTAAATCTTGTTTACATTTACACTTCATTTTAACTTATAGTGAAATTTATATAATGTTAAATTAATAAATCAAATTCAATATTGTCATTATTCACTTCATTTTTAAAAGAAGTATATTTTTAAATCATATGACAATCAAATTATTTTCTATCGAACAATTGCCAAGTAATTTCAATAATTGAGATCATGAGTCAATTGAAGCTAAAAAACCTGGAAGCAGTGGACGGCCGTTTCGTCCTATTGTGGGACTCCTCAGAAGTGCTCATCCTCGGTTCCGCCTCGCGAGATTCGAACCCAACCGTCTAGTGTTTCCAGGTTTTCCATAGTGATCGGGCTTCAAATGACTCATGGCCTCATTTATTAATATTACTATAGTATCCACAAAACCCTTTCTGAAATTGCCAAATAATTTTGTTTCTATATTTTAATTGTATTAAATTACTCAATAGACTAATCGGGTTAGTCTCTTTTTTTGTACTGTTTCAATTTATCAACTGAATTGTTTATTATAGCCAGGATATCAGTTTATATGAGCTCAAGATGAACTATTTGTTATATTTATTGGTAATATCTGTTGCTTTTTTCCTCTTGATTTCTCCGAATGAACTAACAAAAATAAATATTAAACTTTAAATGGGATAGTTTTCATTTGATTGTTTTGTTTCATTGAATGTTTTGAAATAAACTACTTTTAATGATAATTAATTTCACTCGCTTCTCATCAAGTGATTTCATTTGTTTGGAAGTATTGATGATGCTTTTTGTAATTGAATGGACGAAAACAGGATGGCAGCAAGTGAAACCATTCAGAAAGAATTGTAGTATATATCAGAGATAGATTAGAATACTGGATATTTCTTTCGTAACACATAGTTGTTATTGAGAAGGAAGTAAACTTCAATCAAATTGTTGGTCCCAATTGGATTTAAAGCTGAAGTCAACTTTATATTGTGTTATTTATAAATAGTTCAATACAATTCATAAGCTTTTTCCCCATATTTATAGGGTACTTGATAATATATAACCATAATATTCGCCTCCAAATAATTGATAAATATGTGGTGTTGATTATCTAACTAAACTTCTTTGTCAGTATGAATTCATTCAAGGTCGTGTATTGTATTTTATAACGATTTCGGCTTTTCATTTCTCTCACAGGCCTAGATTACCTCACAAACTGTTATGGGCAATTCACTTTTCATTCGTTTTTTTACTTATTTTACAGATCCACATCACAACTTTAAACTTGAACGATTTGGTATGGATTCTGTTTGTGTAGAGCATAGTCCCAACTGGCACTTAATTAATGGAGACTCCTTATTTGTTCCGCCAGTGGAAGGAGCTGGATGTTACACAGTATGATTTGAAAAATTTCCCCCATGATTATGTCTAGCGCGCTTAATCTTCTGAACACTGTAGAACAGCAAAAGACCTCGTTTTCAGTTTTACCCTCATTCATTCAGTATATGAAATTACTTCGTAACTATTCTTTATTGAAGCGCAACGCATTTGTGCACATTCATTTGTTTCATATATATTACTGCAATATTATGATAGTCACTTTCTTATTTTATCTAATGCGTCACACTGGTGAAGAGCATATCTAAAATACTGAAAAATTTCATACATCCTTTGTAACCTATGAGTTTTCTAGCTATTTAGTAGGATTTTCATATTCTATAAAAGTATTCATGTGAAGCCTAATGATTATTTCTGTACCCAAATTATTGGTTGCTATTAAGAATGTATCATAAATATACGTATCTTTATCTTCTTTAAAATCTATCCTAAGCATAATTCATTTAAACTGTTCACAAAGTTAATATGAAAATGGAATACTCAAATCCTTCTGAGATCACTCCATATTAATTCTTTCTTTTTTAATCACTTCGATCTTATTTATAAACTTTCATAATTCTTATTTAGCTTACTTTGTCCGTCATATTCTACATTTAGCTGTATTCTTATTTAGACAGTGTTTTTGATTAATTTTCCCATTTCTGAGAGCAAAGACCAACTTTTTATCGTATTTATAATTTAAAAGATTTGATTTTTGTTTAGTTTTTACTTAATTTTTTAGACAATTTCTGGCTTCTAGTGCAAACTAATGACAGTCGAAGATTTATTTCAAACTTAAGGATGCCATAAACTTTCCCATCTTATTCTAGGACTGCAAGCACCCATAATAATCCCATAGAAGTTAATTATAGTCAGTTTATCGATAGGCTAAAGATCATTAAACGTAGGAGTTAATAAATGTAGGAGAGAAGTTGTATGTATTTGGTTAGTAGATTATTAAAATTTGTTAGTAAGTTTTAAAAAGTTATAACCATGGTCATTCTTTAAAACATATTTTTATAGTTTACGAATATTTGTCGCCCTCTCTTAAATATTTAAATACATATTCTAAATGAAGAATCACGAACATTTTTAAAACCCGAGTTTCCTATTATCTTACAAACGTTATCATTAGGTATACGTATAATTTTTTTTCGAAAAATTTCAGTTCCGATGTTCAATGACTGAAGGTGGTTTGGTCTTAGAACTTGCTGGAGGTATGTCGATTCCTTGTGAAGTGCCAGGAGAACTTAGTGAAATTAACGCTTGTTTAACAAAACAAAGTCTTACTGTGAAAGGAAAACTTGTATGTCCTGATTGCAGATTACTATGTCCAGTAAGTAAGGACTAAGGTCTTCTAAATTTATTTATTCCATCTGATCATTTTGTTAGATCTTTTTATAAATACGCTAATCGATATATATATATATATATATATAAGAACTTTTGAACAATAATGGTACACTTCTGTGGTGTTCGCTACCGATGTCGACAGATAAAAGTAGGATGTATTGTTAATCGAAAATGCAATGTCTGGCTGTAGAAGGTTAAGAAGACCGAAGGTAAGAGAACGAGAACAAAGAATGATCGGTGTGGAAACGAAAGAACAATGAAGTCTGAGACAATCGATTGACATTTTGCAGAAGGAACAGTCACGTTCGAGATAATTGATCAACAAGTTGCAAACGAAGTATTTACTGTATGGTTCTCAGATTTTACTAAGATGTTCTGTAATTTTGTATTCAACTACATTCGATTGTTCCCATTTGTGTCCTTGTATATTACGCTTCTACTCCAGTAGCCGAATTTTCTTAAAGCCATGCTCTACAAGCGTGGAAGCGAAATGCATATTTAAGTTGACATGCTAGGTGTGATTGACTCTCTGTGTCAGAATTGATACGCAATATGATCAAACTTATGCAAGTGAACACCACTAAAGTAATCCTCTTTAGTTAGAATTTTTTTTTCACTATCTTACTGCACTAAATATTGAGATTTTCTTTTATCATAATGTATCTATATGACAAAGTGAAGATAATTTTTCTCATTGTATTTGAAATTTTTCTTTAAAATATTTATATTTTAGTTATCGGAGTGTCCGAAAATCTATTCCATTTCACAAAACAATGTAACATATCTCAGATCAAACTACTCCAACGATCGTTCGTCTTCGTTTTTGTATGAAACCAATATGTTTATACCTAAATCACGTACTATACAGTATTCTCAGTTAATTGTTAATGAAACTGAGTCTATTGTTGAAAATCCATTATATATTGTTGAAAATTCTAAAAAGACTAAAGGTATTGTAATACAACAAGCTATTCTGCCTGGTGCATGTTTAGTTAATATCGCTTACTCATCTACTTCCCTAACTTTTTCAATATTCATATACTTTGTGGTGTTTTTTCAACTATTCTGTTTATAAAATGACTTATTCTTTATATGCCCACAAAAATATTTCCTATCCGTTAAAATTCATTTCGTTATGCTTATAATTTCTTTTCACATCGCAAGATCATAATTATTTTTTTTTCAAAATAAAATGAATAAAAAGTAACAAATGCATTTTCGATTTTAAAACATTCAAGAATACTTGTTTAAAGTCGTTCAAGAGACTCTATAGCAGTTGTTAGCAGGAAGTAATTTTCATTGTCATTTACCGAATTGATTAGTCGTTATTCTGAATGATTGGCAACAGCCATCGCTCATTCTTACACTGAAATTTTTAATTATGACTACTCACAAAGAAAATATTTCGTAATGCTGGATAAGTTCATAATGCATTTAATCTAGTTAAATGGATCATTTTCAGATATTTCAGCTATTCATTGAAGCTTTGCGTTGGGTTTCAATTCGCACTTATCTGATAGAATAATGAATATCTACGGTCACTATTTATGGGCTCACGCTAGTGGTACCAGAATATGTTACGTTATGGTGTCTGCAGATTATAACACCATGCCACTGCAATGTGCATATCATTTCAATGAATTTTCAAGCAGTCACAAACAAAGATAAGAAGGAAATAATAATCGAACAGACTAAAGGATTCGATCTACTTTGACTAGACTTTAGGGTCCCATCATAGTAAATGACGAAATAAAGAGGATAGAAGCGATGTAAGTAAATCGAGACTTGTTAACCGTTAGTGTAGTCGCTGATACGGTATCAGTAAAATAGCCCTAGTGGCTAGATATTTACAAAATCAAATTTCAACAAAAAGCTCGAATAAGCGATCAATGGAATTCAATATAAATTAACAAAATGAGCTTCATAATCTTTTTTAGTGACGAGTGAATTCACTGATTATTATTGAGTAAAAGTAAACACTTAATTGTAAGCTAATTTCATGTGTAAAAAGCTTTTATGAATCCTATACCTTACATTATCCATATTTTACTAAGCCTACATATAACTTGACAATAGCTAAATATTTTGACACTTAACAGTATCAGTATTGCACAGTCTTTATCCAATATACAGTAAAGTAATTGAAGGTGAAAATATGAACCACTGAATTCCGTGTTCAATTACTGTCCAGGTAATATTAGTCTATTATGAAATTACCTTTTAAATAAGTGACTGATTTCAGTATGTAATACATACTCATTAATTTTTATCATTAACGTTTATTTTATTCATTTTTTTATCATATGTACCAATTTCTGAGATTAGATGGTGGAAACCCTGGACCCGGGTTTCGTGCTACTCGGCACTCGTCAGCAAGGTGTACCTGTAATCTTGAGGGAACTGGTGCTCCCTGGCGGATTCGATCCCATGTCACCCAGTTTCACAGTCACAGATGTTACCACTGTGCTATCCAGGCCGCGACTGACCTCCTGTAGGACTGAGATGTAATCACAATTGATTGATCACTGGGTGGTGATCAATGTCATATGTGTCAAGTCCTCACAGAAATCCTATGACAATCGCTTAGTATATTCATTGATATTTATACATAACTTACAATAAATATTTATACGAATATTCGTCAAAATTAAAATGAATAGTTTGATTATATTTGAAATAATCTCAGCGATTAAAATTGAAAATAATTCCAACGTTTCGTCCAGCTAACTTATCTGAACTTCTTCAGGATGATAATCAACATCATCAAATAAATATATAACGTCTTATAATAAATGACTTTCTTCTAAAAGGAAAACAACAGAATTAAAATAAGATTTAATTCCTCACATTGTTGATGATTTAGTTGTATCTGATTCATATACTTATTTAATTAAGTAAGAATATCTCCTAGTTCTTATCAATATCTGATTCATTGCATTAAGTTTGGCTGTTCTTCAATTTTTGTTTTATTTTCACATATTTTCAAGTAGATTTGTTTACTGTTTTTGTTTTTTTTTGTTTTTAAGCATAGAAGTATTAAATATCGTATATATTAGAACAAGAATAGATCACATGACACAACAGAATGAAATTTTTCATTGTTTTTTTTCTCTTGTTGTCATTGTTATTGTTGTTGTCAACATGATAAAAATAAAGAAACAACTCTACTAGTTCACACCTGTCAAAATATAAATAAATTGAATGAGGGGAGGGGAGAGAAATAAAATACTGTTTACTAACTAACTGATTAATTACATTTTATAGTTATGTTTGTTTATTTTTTTTCTTTTTACTTTTCCCTATCTTACCTATTCAACACAAAATTAATATTTGGTTACAAAAACTGAATTTATAAATAACTGTACTAACATATTTTTATTATAAAAAAAAGAAAAAAAAAAAACAACGATACCCTATAAAATAAGGGTTAGTAAAGTTCATTCTCATCTCTTGACTTAAGTTTACTTTCTAATCTGTAGAGAATTTTTTTAATCAGAGACAGGGAATGTAAAAAAAAGAGAAAAAAGAAAAAAAAGAAAAGAAAGAATATTTAAAAAGATGTTGGCAAATAATTACTGAATGAACATGTGTTCATAAATTTATGTGGTTAGCATTAATTCTAAATATTTTTTCTAAAAAAAAAAATTTGTCATAGTTTTATAAGTTTACCGACAGAAAATATGGTGTATCATTTTCATCGGTCATTATATATGATATATATATATGCTATATAAGCGTTTTGTTTTGATTAAAATACATTCTCCCATTTAATTTGAATCATAATGACAGTAGTATTTAAGATAATAATTACATCTTTTTATAATTGTGTTCAAACATGTTTACAACACTGGGATGATGTTGTGTTTTTTCTTTTTCTTTTTATATTCTTTTCTTTCAAATTGACTAGAATATAATATACATACATATAGAATATATATATATAGATTCTATATTTAAATCAACTCTACAGACCAGTAATAAAATAAATTTTAGAAAAGCATTAAATGATTAGAAATTTTGTTAGCATAATAATGTTATTGGTAGGAGAAAGAAATAGCATAACACAATAGAGCATACAAACATTTTTGTTTAACATTTAGACTATTCACTTGTTTCATATATTTCGGTTGATGGGATGATGAGAGTATATATATGGAAAAGCGAGTACAGTTAATTCATAAAATAATTGAGTATAATTATGGTCCAATTTCAATGAGAATTATAAATAAATGGAATAAATACATCGACACACATACATACCTATAGACAACTGTACAGACGTAAATTATCTTTGATTTACTAAAGCTTTAAATATTCATATAACAATAATAATGATAAGTAATTATTTGGTATTAATTTCATTGATGTGAAACATTAGATATGTTCTCTTTTTTTATAATAAACTAAAAATTTACTCGGGTAAAATGAAATTTACAATTAATTTGTTGGATATAGTTTTCAAGAGTTGAGATTATGAGTCAGTTGAAGCTAGACCACAATGGGAAACCTGAAAGCACTGGACGACCGTTTCGTCCTATTATGGGACTCCTCAGTAGTACGTATCCACGATCCTGCACCCCGC